TTCAGCAGAGCATTATGCAGAACAACACCAATATTCCCGAAACAACGTAAAATCATGTCATTTTACTTCCAGAGGGGACCTTAGGGATTATCAAGCCAAACATAATATGTCAAGTAGAAGAATATTCAATCTCTAGACAATGGGTCTCATACAGGAATTTTATCACAAGAGAAGTGGCCACTATGTCCTCTAAAACCCTTCAAGGCAAAGCCTCCAAATGTCTTTTAGTAAAGAAAAGTGAAGACCATGCAGATACATAAAGCACAGAATTAGAAACCCTACATATAGAGATTTCTATTAAAAATATTTCCCCTTATACCCTCCAATACGGTGGCATTCCAATCTAGGGCAAAATCAATCTCCTTTCAGTTGGAATCTGTGATTATTCAGCCATAATGAAGTATTTTCAAGTCTATGCACTCATGGGCTGCTGACCCTGGACACATTACCTAACTCTCTAAACTTCAGTGTCCTCGTCTATAAAATTAAGTTCATAATAGCTCCTGCTTCTTGAAACTGTTGTGAGGATTACAGATAAGTGTCTATGTCTGTCATGTAGTAGGTACTCAGCAAGTGTTAGTTATTAATGATGGTGACAATGACCACCACTGCTACCATTTCTTACAGAATAAGATTTCCAAGGCCCATCTATCAACACTGTATTACATACAAATGTGAAACAGTAAAACTAGCTCTGCAGATATCAGAGACTTTTTCCACTCTATTTCATTTCTGAAAATTCCCCATTATGCAGTGAATTATTAAAGGCACTGGAAACTCTCTTTTACCATGTAGGCAAATATCATTCCATTGTAGAAGCTGGTAAAATCTCTTATTTTTAAATGTTTAACTTTATCCTTTATCGTGACCATAATAATAATAAGGGGGGGTTGTTTTTTGTTTGTTTTTTTTAAAGCAGCAAACTAAGAACCCAGTTACGTAGGAGCCATGCTCAGCACTGTATTTTGAGAACATATGAACAGCTTCCTCTGGTTTAGCATCTCCCCTCTGGCCCATCTTAGGGGTTTTGATCATTAGTCTCTGGAAGCTCTAAAGCACTTAACTGAGTCTGGGTATTCCTAATTTTCTGCCCAATGTTCATAGGGAAATAATCAGAGAGCTCTACTTTTGAGGCTCCATCCTTCCTTAAGGCCTTCCTGTAATAGCTTCTCTTTTACGGAGACTCAGTATTCAGGGCTGAAGCAGCAGGCCCCAATGGCCTTGGCTATTTTGTTTCCCCATTAATCTCCATATGACTATGTCACTCCTCTGTGTAAAACCCTGGCAAAGACTCTCAGTGCCTGGGTGAGTAAAGGATCCATAGTGTGGCAAACAAGGCCCCGAGGACCCGGCTGTCCTCCACCTCTCCAGCCTCATCTCTGAACGACACCTTTAGCTTTAGCCATCCCAGACTACCTGCCGTTACCTGAACAGGCGAGGTTGTATCATTCCTCTGTGCTTTTGCTCCTGCTACCTGATCTGCTTAGAGCACACCCCACTTCCAATATTCCTGAGGACCACTTGCAAGACTAAGGAAATGAATCGTTTCCCAGTTATTCTACACACTCTCCCAGCAAAACTGATTTTTTCCTTCTGGAATCTCCTCTGTCCCTTGTACAGACATAGATCATAGTTCCAACAATGCGTTATTGCATGCGTATGTCTACCAGTTGGCCTCCACCATTTGTATTGAGGCAGTGGCTATCTTACATACATCTTTGTATTTCTAACATATGGTATAGAGCCAGGAACAAAGTAGATTCTCAATAGATATTTACTGAATGAATGAATAAACTACTTTTACTGACTGGTGAAATGACCATAACCAGCTTGTACTTCTTGTGTTCATCACTTCTCAAACTGAGGAAATACCCGCTGTCCCTTCTCACAGAACCCCCTCAGAAGATTGGAGCCCACTTGCAATATGATAGGAGGGCTGTAAGAAAAGGTATAGAGCTCGAACTGTTTCTAGAAGCTACAGATCTAGTGGTTTGTGTTCTGTAACTGTAACAAGGTTCTTCTGAATCTTAGAATCTTATTGTTTAAGCTTCCAGTCCTGGAGACTGCAATCCTAAAATAGGCACACTAATATGACAAAGGCCAAATAGATATAATAATACATAAAAATAATAATATTTAAAACGTGTTACAGATTAAATATAGGTCAAGGGTAAATTTCTATTTAGATTATCTTTTGCATCCTTTTAATTTTATTTATATATATTTAAAATCTCAGACTTTTATTCACCTTAGTGGCCAAGTTAATCCCTAGAAGTGAATTGGGGCAGAGGACAACAAGTAAATTTGGTCATCACTAATATTGTGTAACAATCTGAAAGTCCTAAATGAATTCTTATCCTTTTAAGTACCTGCTACTTAATATAAAAAGGTGACTTCACCAAAAATATTTTGGCTTATACTTCCCCTTAGACCATCACCATAAGTCAGTGACAAGGTGAGATTATACTTATTGTGCAAAATGTACCCTACGAAATGTTTCATTTTCTTCCTTAATATTAAATCTAATATCTAGGAAATATAGCAAGGATATAATGGAAGTTGGGGAGTTGGAGACAATATGAACACAAAGAAAGAGAAGTGGTCTTCCCTGGTGGCGGAGTGGTTGAGAGTCCACCTGCCGATGCAGGGGACACGGGTCCGTGCCCCGGTCTGGGAAGATCCCACATACTGCGGAGCGGCTGGGCCGTGGGCCATGGCCGCTGAGCCTGCGCGTCCGGAGCCTGGGCTCCGCAACGGGAGAGGCCACAACAGTGAGAGGCCCGCGTACCAAAAGAAAAAACAAACAAACAAACAAACAAAGAGAAGTGAAGGAAGCAAAAATGTGGAGAGAGGCGAAGGCAGGGAAATCAGTAGAAGGAGGCTATGCCGAGAGAAAAGGGTAGCAAAGATAGAGAAGAGGCCTCAGCTACTAAAAGAAAGAAGTTACCACCCATTATATTTTTTGCTATAGTTAATAATTTTTTATATTTGTTTACCTTCTAATAACATTGAGTGTTTTCCTCCTAGTGGTTTGGCAACCTGGTTACAATGGAATGGTGGAATGATATTTGGCTCAATGAGGGTTTTGCAACATACATGGAACTTATCTCTGTTAACATCACATATCCAGAGCTACAATTTGTAAGTCACAATTTTGTATGTCATACTGTATGCCCTAAGGAATCATTAATTTACTACTAAAATTTTTAGAGAATGCCAAAGAGAACATAGCATTGAGTCTTTGAATCTATGGTGTTTTGTTTTGTATAAACAGGTTGTATTAGTTTGCTAGGGCTGCCATGACAAAATTCCACAGACTGGGTGGCTTAAACAACAGAAATTTATTTTCTCACGGTTCTGGAGGCTAGAACTCTGAGATCAAGGTGTCGGCAGGTTTGATTTCTTCTGAAGTCTCTCTCCTTGGCTTACAGATGACCACCTTCTCACGGTGTCCTCACATGGTCTTTTCTCTGTGCTCACACATCTCTGGTGTCTGAGTTTTTAAATTTCCTCTTCTTACACCAGTCAGAGTGGATTAGGGCCCACCCTAATGGCCTCATTTTAATTCAGTCCCCTCTTTTTTAAGGCACTATCTCCAAATACAATCTGGGGGCTAGGGCTTCAGCATATGAATGGGGCGGGAGGCACATAACACAGATGATAGAACTGGATGAGACACTGGAGGTTTTAGAGAACAGTCAGCATAAATCCCTCACCCTAAAGTTTGTGGATAGAGAGTGAAAATAGCACAAATCTACAGCTGTGTATGTGGGGTGAGAGGAAAGTATCACTGTCTGTATACAATGATATAGGACAAGACAATGCCCATGGCTATAGATCCTGTACAGAGTTCTTGGCATGTAACCTGAATTGAGCATGACTGGGGACACGCTCCTCCAGAATTTCCAAAGGGTTAGTTAATTTCCCCAAAATGTGTGAAAAGATTTCTTCAAACATGTCTTTTTTAATAGGCACAAGAGGGTCTGAACAGCACATATCAAGGTAGTTAGTAATGGATAATTAGCTCTTTGAGGTAGACATTTCATCCAGTACAATTACAGACAGACATGGATTCAAAGTCAGTGTCTTCTTATTTGCTATGTGCTGAATCTGTGGTTTAATCCCAAAGCTTCATACATTCTCACTTGTAAAATGTATATAATGCATCTCCCTTGCAGGGTGTTGAAAGGATTGCAGATGATGGATGTAAGATCTTGGCACACAGCATGTGTTCACTAAATGGGAACCTTAGTTTTATTTTTGTATCGAAGGGATTGGCTCATGGTAAACATTCAGGCAGTATCTGAGGGAATGTCGAATTTATACCTTTACAAAATAGAGAATTGGTGAAAGGGGAATATATAAGGGGAAAGAAACATCTGGTAAGAAATATTGAATACCTACTTCTGAGAATATCTTATAAAACCTATCGTGTTTCCTATTGCTTTGAGAATGTCAAATGGAAATTGAAAAAAATTTTCTCTCCTGTTTAGGACGACGATTTTCTGGACATGTGTTTTGAAGTAATTAAAAGAGATTCATTAAATTCATCCCATCCTCTCTCCAATCAAGCAGAAACCTCTACTCACATAAAGGAAATGTTTGATGCTGTTTCCTATAAAAAGGTAGTAAATGCTGTGGACTAGTGGAAGCTCTGCTTTTGGGAGAAATATAATGAGGCCAGTACATCAACAGTTTAAGTTGTTGGTGCCAGGTTATTGCCACCTGTTTCAGTTTTTATTTGCTGTTCATTTATCAGACGTTACACATGTTCCGTAAAATGTAAGTTTCCTTTAAAAACATATATTACCTTTTCCTTTATCTTCTTTTTCTTTGCTTTTGTTTGTATTTTAGGGAGCTTGTATTTTGAATATGCTCAAGGATTTTCTGAGTGAGGAGAAATTCAAGAAAGGAATTATTCACTACTTAAAGAAGTTCAGCTATAGAAATGCTAAGAATGATGATTTGTGGAGCAGTTTGTCAAATGCAAGTCCTCTGTTAAGTTATAGTAGACTGCTAAGAATGATGATTTGTGGAGCAGTTTGTCAAATGCAAGTCCTCTGTTAAGTTATAGTAGACTGCTGTTCAGTCTAAAAAGTGACAAGCTAATTATGAAGGTTTATAAATAGTTACATTGTCAGGCAACAAATGCTTATTTCACTTGCCACACTGGCAAGGGTAAGCAGGCAGCACCTCTTTTTTTACCTCTGACACCTTACTAAACCAAGATGCCACACTAGTTAAACCCCAAGGGTTCAATATTTGACCTCCTTCTCTTTGGTTTCCCTTTTATGGTTGACCCTACACTTTGGTCTTTTTTTCCAAATCTTTCATGACTTTGTAATTCCTCCATGTGACACCTGATCTTCTCTTCCCAAATTTAAGGTTGAACTCTACTTGCTCAAATGTATTTCCCAGCCTGTATTCTCTGTTGAGTGAGACACACCTCCTCCCTCATAGGAAGAAATCCTGTTCAATCCCTGTCATGCCTCTGTTTCTGGTGCTTTTGCTGCCCGAAGTGCTCTCTCGTCTTTCCAACAATTCAGGTGCTGTCCATCTTTTGAGATCTAGCTGAGATTTCACCTCGTCCTTACAGACAGCTCCAGCCCTCATTGATTTGCCTTTCTGCTGAATGCCTAGAAGTACACTTATGAATCTGTTCCATCCAGTGACATTCTCTTTTATTGGTTTCCATTGGTTCAATAATAACAATGATAATAATAAACAAAATGTGCTTAAGAGAAAGAATCATGTTAGGCCCTTAGCATTCTATTGACCCTATAATCAGATAATGATTGATTAAGAACATATGGTCTCTTTGTCATTGGGATTCACGTAGTATAGTAGGTAAGACAGAGAAAACGTGCAGTCAACTCATAAAAATATTCTTAGATTTTCAAATGCAAGGACAATACTTTGTTATAGAAGTAATGAACTGGCAGAACTTGTGCCTGCAGGTGGAAGAACCCTAAGTCATTGTACACGGAAGAGGTCCTCTCTCCTTTATAAGCACGTATGTCCCAGGGACAGTAATAATATTGTTCAATATTTGTACAGCACTTCACAGTTTAAAAAGAAACTTCATGTGCATTATCTCATTTGATTTTTTCTGTGCCCTTATTAAGTCTGGACCCTCAAGGTTTAACTTATGTGTGAGTTTGTGGTTAAAGAAACAAATGCAATAATTAAAATTTTTTTCAAAGTAGCTCAAACATTTTACCCCCATTTCTTGAAAACCCTAAAGGGGATCAAATTACATGACCCTTTGTAATTCTTATAAAGATGCTCCTTATCCATTTTCATCACCTCTTGCCGCTGATCCAGGTGTTCTTCACAATTCTCCCTCAGGTTGTCAACAACAAGCCTTACATTGCTTTTCTCTCCCCCCTCCTTCTCCCTCTCCTTTGCTATGATGTGTACTTGTGTATGTGTCTCTGTGTGTAGACATCAACCAAGCCTTTTTTCAGCAAGGAAGAATCTGTCTTTGGTGTGGGTAGTGGGTGTAAAGGGGATTAAAGGAGATATTTGGGCAATAATGACAGGATTCTTTTAGGTTAACTGTGAGCACCCCTATGTTAATTTTTGTCACTTCATGCTTATAACCATCTCAAGAAGGTAAGGTAGGCATTCTTACCCCATCTTTACAGATGGGAAAACTAATTCGAAGGGAGAGATTTGCTCAAGACCATATACCAAGTGAATGATGGAGTCATTACTTAAAATCTGTCTTCTGACTCTCAGTCCAGTATTCATTCTTTCAATTACATCACAACTTCTTCCTGGTTATCAGGGAAGTCACCCATCCAAACTTCCCCTAAAGGTCCTAAATTCTAGGTGACCCCCTTCTGATGCCAAATGAAACTGTGGGGGACTTACCTGGTGGCTCAGTGGTTAAGAACCCGCCTGCCAGTGCAGGGGACACGGGTTACAGCCCTGGTCTGGGAAGATCCCTCGTGCCACGGAGCAACTAAGCCTGTGCGCCACAACTACTGAGCCTGCACTCTAGAGCCCACGAGCCACAACTACTGAAGCCCAGAGTAGCCCCCCGCTCGCTGCAACTAGAGAAAGCCTGTGCACGGCAAAAAAGACCCAACACAGCCAAAAAAAAAAAAAGAGAGACTGTGGTAGGAAAATGATAAATTCCTGAGAATACCTAACTCAGCATCGTGTCACATAACATCAATTATACATATAAAACAAAAAGAGTAAATTTTATGTATTCTTTAATGAATTGCTATGCTTATTACCATGTTTAGATGAATTAAAATTTCATATATCTATGCTAATAAATGTCTGCATTCATGTCTAATATGCATATTCAGCCAACTATCAGTACCCAAAATGGCAGTGCTCTTTTACTCTTGTTTTATAGGATTGTTTAGAAAGTGATTCTACATCTGGTGGATTTTGTTATTCCGATTCCAAGACAACAAGCAACACAGTAAGTAGAAAGAGACTTGTAGAGTAGAAGAGATTTGGCTCATCACCTGGCCCAAAGTGAGTGTGTAAAGTCGCCCAACTGTCCCTTTAAATAACTGGAGAGAAATAGAGACTCCACAGTTTTCCTTGAAACAAAGCTGCCTGAAGAAAGAATGCTCAGGCCATTTAGGGGGGTGATGCTGTTACTACTATATTTTTGTTGTTATAATTCAGCTTTCCCACAACCCCGCTGCTAGCTAAAAATATCTCAGCTCAAAATTCTTCTGAGTGGTTACTGCTGCACTGGCATCCTCTAGGCTCTGAAAAATGCCAAACCAAATCTGTTAAGTTTGGAAATAGAGTGAATGGCTTTCTTGAGGCCCTGTCTTTTTGTTTACTTTTGGGAAGTCATCATGGAAAAAAAAAAAAGGCAAACTTTTTAAAAAGCATTATGGTAATCCCATCAATTATAGTTTCTAAAGGGAGATTCAGCATCACTCAGTGATCAGCAATACATACTAGAAGCTAAAAAGCTAGAGGTTTTGTTCTCCATTCCATATACCTCTATTGATATAATATTGTTCTATTGGAATTTTTAAAAAGCTTCCCTAAAGAGAGACATTTCTTCTTAAGCCACTTCTCTGGATTCTGTCATTAATAAAATGGAGAGTAGTTTTTTGGTTTTCGGTTTTATGGTGGGGTTTTTTTTTTTTTTTTTTTCTGTTTTGAAAGGGAGGCTTCAGTCTCAAACCCTTCCTCTTGACCTTTCCTGCCCTGTGTTAACCCTCAAGCTCCCACACACGTCCCCGCTTCAGGTAATTTGCAGAGCAGCCCTGGGCAGGGTGGGGAGGGGCAGCATTCTAGTTTCCACATCACTCCCCTGGGAGATTTCAGCCAGAGTCCCCGCTTCCTGTCCCACCCATGTTTCCAGCGTCCAAGGAGGTCGAAGTTTCTCATCTCTGGCTTCTCTCCTCTGTCTTGAGTTACCGAAGTCACTTGTCATTTCAGCTCACCTTTCTGCGGGAAAATGTGGAGGTGAAGCACATGATGGCTACATGGACTTTGCAGAAAGGAATCCCCCTCGTGGTGGTTAACCGAGAAGGGCGTTCAATCAGACTGCAGCAGGAGCGCTTCCTGAATGGGGTGTTCAAAGAGGATCCTGAATGGGGGACCCTGCAGGAAAGGTGACTGCTTTCCTTCTGTCGGTCTAGTTTACCTCATCTCAGTTTGTTCGTGATCGCATTAGCTTTCTTTCAGCTTCTCTGGCAGTTTTATGGGGTGCTATTTCTACACAGGACTCGAAGGCCTAAACTAGCCTTGATATCAGCCCAGACTGCATTGTTGAGGGGCACATTCTTAGTAATCCTGGGGCCACCTTTAGAACCTCAGTTGTGATGCAGAAGGTCGTCGGTAATATTTCTAATATAATATACCTAATATTTCTAATATAATATACCTAATAAATTGTGTGACTGGCCCATACCTAGGAAATGTTATGACAACTATACACCTTATCGGAAAAGACATTCCCTATTTGATAAATTAGATGCTAAGACCTTCCGCTCTCTTTCGTTTTTCAGTAAGAGACTATAAATGTAATCCCTTAAAACATGATGTTCTTGGTAATAATAAAAGCAAATCCAATTACCCACACTGTCATCTGTCCTGAGAAAACTTGTTAAAGGCTTTATTAAAATCAAGATACACAACATGGTCCACCTTCCTCTGATCTATTAGCCCTATCAATAAGATGAATGAGGTTAAATTGAAATGAAATTAATCCAAGTGAATCCGTGCTGGCTCTTTTGATTATTATTTTTTTCCCAAGGATCTAGCTGTCTAATAACAGTTCTAGAATTTTTCTGGCAAATTCACAGCCTTAACACATAGGATATACTGTTTTCCCTTTTTGTTTCATCAGATGTCTATTTCGATCCAACAGCAACTCTTATGCCATTTATCTTCCATTTCTGTGTATGTCCTTCTGAAGTCTGAACTTCAGAGAGCTTAAACAACTTAAAGCTTGGCAACACAGGCTGGAAAATTTAATGTTTGATTTACTATTGCGAAAGCAGGACTCATAATTCTGTAACTTATCAAAATGTCACCAGAGACAGTTCAATAGTGTGGTTGGCCCAGAATAACAAATATCTACTGCAATGATCTGTATTTTTCCTCTACCTGAAGCAGTATTTAGATTACTATTATAAAATTATTATCCTCTGATCCATGCTTATCCAAACTCATGAAATGCTACTCTTCCTCTCTTTACTCCCAGATATGTTTATCTGGAAAAATCTCTTTCTAGAGTCCAGATCCATCCAGGAATCTCGATCCATTAAGTCTTGGTGATATCTATGTGTCTCTTTTTACCAATTTGTATAAATATTGCAGTTGCTTTGTTAATTATCTGTACTCTCTGGATTAGCAGGTAGATTATCCCTTCTGACCCTTTATTAGATCGAGTCTGTGTCTGCTGTTTCTCTCACTATTTTATATTTTTCTGAAGACTACTGGGCACATCCTCAGTTACTATTCTTGCTGTTTTTGTTTTGTTTTTTTAATATATATTTTAAAATTAATTATTTATTTATTTAATTCTTTCTGTTTTAGACCTATTGGTATTTTCAAGCATGTCATTTTACAGGATTACTGTAGCTAATATGGCTTTTGCTGTGATAGACGAAATGAGTTCTAGAAGCTGGTAGAAAGTTAGTCAGAAAAAAATAGCCAGTTTCAGTTATTTACCATAGTAGGGCCATTGAAAAGTAATTGAGGCCTTTTCCTCCAATCCATTCTGCTTCTCTCCTCTCTGGACTTGGCTGATGTGCAGATCTTGACACACTGCTGCAGGCACTTAGCAGTTGGGGGGTTGAATGTAGGTAGCTTTGTTGAACAAAAGGATAAGTGGAAAATCATACTGGAGTAAGATCGTTACCTTGGAGGGCTTTTCCTACAGCTTTGGTTCAGTTATTTGAATTAATATCAGACTGTCATAATTTTTGGAAATATGAAAGGAAGATTTATTTTTTTTCTCTTACTTAGAAGAAAACAATCAGCAGAACTTGTTGTGGTATGATATTTGGACAGCAAATGGCACAGGTAATTGTGACAGAGTTCAACTAGGTATACATTGCTGCTCCTTCATAACCATTATGGAAGAACTTTTGCACACCCAAGGATCTGCTAGTCTTAGCCTATAAAATTTATGTTGGTGTGAAGGATGAATGATTAGGTGTCTTTTACAGCCTATCCGAGTCTGATGATGTGAAAATTGAAATGGCCATTAATTTAGTCTGTAACAGTCTTTACTTTCTAACATAGGTACCTTTGGCATATCCCAGTGACCTATTCCACAAGTTCCTCTAATGCAATTCACAGACACATTCTGAAATCAAAGACAGGTAATGAACTAACTAGCCAATAGCTGTTTTAATTCTGAAATTAAACATGTTCTGAGATATTTGGAGGAAAGATACTGTAAGTCAATCTGATAATGAATGATATATGTTTGAGGAAGTTCTCATTTATCCATATATGTGTTAGCTAGAAAGTCTGAATTTTTTATTCAGTGGAAAGTTCTCTTGTGCTTCTAGCACTTAGAGATAGGTTTATATTTATATTAAGAAATGATGGCATCCTATCTTATGTCTTTTAATACATACTAGTTCAGTGGATAAAGGCATACACTCTGGAACTGATTGGCTCTGGATTCAAATCCTCATTCTGTCACATATTAGATGTGTGCCCTTAAGAAACATTTTTAACTTCTTCTGAGTTTCAGTTTTCTCATCTTATTTTGAATGGGGATTAAGCCTCACAGAGCTTTGTAGAGAATATGGTAATGTTATTTTACCACCTAGTGTAATGTCTGTCATATTAAAAATAATACAATTTTAATTTCCCCTTTAAACGCATCACTGAAATTTGAGAATGTTCCCATCATAATGTCGTGTTCAGCCTACAGTCCTTATTTTGCCCAAAATAAGGACTGGACAAATGGATCACCTATTTACATATACATATTTCAATGAGCAGTAACTAAACCTTGAGACAAGGCCACCAATAAATCAAGCCAAATTCCAGTCATGTTCATCATCTGGCTCAGTGAGCCCTTGCATGCCTCTTAAACCTGCATAGACTGCTTTTGAGAACAAATTCATCAGTCCTTTTCCTAGGAATTAGTTTATTTATTAATTTAATAAGGTCATCATCCCCAAAATAAGCCATTCAGCAGACTATGAAAATAGGATCATTGTGAGTCTTCCAAAACTTTGTCTTCTCCTTGATTTATTAGTAATAGTATGGAGACTAACACTTTTGGAGATGTTCCTGGCGTGCACGTCGATAAGGAAATACCTATACAAATTTTCTCCTCCTAGATACTCTGGATTTACCTGAGAAGACCAGTTGGGTAAAATTCAATGTGGACTCAAATGGCTACTACATTGTCCACTATGAGGGGCGTGGATGGGACCAACTCATTACACTGCTGAATCAGAACCACACATTTCTCAGACCTAAGGACAGAATAAATCTGATTCATGATGCATTTCAGCTAGTAAGGTAATGCAAAAATTCATCTGATTTCATAGGAAATAACTGCTTTATCACCAGATACATTAGATTTCAAGTCAAACGTTCGGTGTTAATCATTCACATGATATGGATATGAATGGAGGTCAAATACAGGCCATTAGGCCACAGCCTACCCACTGATAAAGTATTTTGACCCACCCAGCGTTTAAAAATTTAATCCAACATTTTAAAGTATGGAGAAGTTTATGTAGAAATCCTGACTTCTGGAATCTCTTAAATAATGAGAAAATTTGGCAACTGTGGGCCTTCATTCGCACAGGGCAACCATAGAGGATGGTAGGGTGGGCAGATCTTCCTTTGGGCCAGGCCTACATTCTCCTATGTACCAAAGTCCTAAATGGTACACATGAGGGGCCTGATTCACTCACTTATGGTGGACCCTCCGGGCATTTAAGCTTTTGACCTCAGATTTTAAATTTGTTTATGCTGGTAGCTTGCTGTTTCACCAAATACCAATGTAATCTGTTGGACAAAAGGTATCAATATGGTTATAACCTTTATAATTTTTAAATCTAGTGCACAATCCATGCATTACTTTGCTCACATTGGGGAAGTCAATATGAAATTGGTAGAAAAATGAAGGAGGAATTGGCTGCTTATGTGTATTCCTCATTTTACTTTCCTGGAAAAACAAAGTGTTTTCTTTCCTTTTTCCCATTTATCATCAACAGAATAATATGTAGAATAAATCACAAGGTCACCAATGGAAAAACAATTGGGGATCAGGTGGCATATTTTGCATTATGTAAGCTTTTTCTATTCTGAGAATTACTGTAATGTACTCACTTTATTCAGTGTGACGTATTATTTCCTTTCCGATCCTTATTTAGGTCAAATTAAGTAAACGTAACCAGCAAGACATCTCTCAGACACAGCTTCTCTGTACAATAGAATTCCCTAGTTAGAAAAGTGAGAGGATTGAGAGCTTAATCCTCACTCCCATAGGTCTCAGGAGCATCATGGTAGCATAGCTATCCTGCGTCTGAGTGGATGCATGATAGACTAGCTGAGAAGTGGATTATCTTCAGTTGAGGGAGGTTTGTCTGCTTAAAGGAGAAACTCTGAGCAGATTGCAAAGAAGGTAGATTACAAATTTAAGACCAGGCAGAAGGAAGAATATTGACAACTCAGCAAATGAAAGCCAATCTTTCAAGTAGTTGCAAAGTCTTTTTTGCTGTTTCTAGCCTATAAATTTATGTGCAGTGTAAATTTAGCAGAAGGAACCCTATAGTTACTGATGCATCAGTAGAAAAGCAATCATTTCTTTACTAGGTAGACTGGTTAATGAACTTCCGAGCACAAATTTTGGTTTAAAAAAAATTAACTAAGTACTACCTCTTCACTTATTGTTTGACCTCTGACAAGGCCTCTGACAAGGCCTAAATTTTCTAGTCTTTAAAACATTTCTAGTCTTTAAAACTCCAATAATAATAATGTCTATCATGCAGGGCTGTTTTGAGGATTGCTTAAGATAATGTAGATAAAGCACTAAGTACAGTGATAAATGCTCAACAAATGGTAGCTGTTAGCATTATTAGTATTATCTAATATAAATTGTTTAAAAGGTCATGCGTTGAATGGGAAGGTGAAGTGATAACATAGAAAAATGCATTTCAAATAATGTGAAATTGGAAAAAAAGCAGAATGTAAGCTTAGGTATTATTATGTTTGCAGTTACATGAAAAAAAAAAAAAGCTAAAGGTGAGAGAAACAAAAACAGAAAGAAATATTCCAAAGTGCTATTAGTAAATATGTAAGGTAATGAAATAATGAGTTTTTTCCCCTTAATTTCCAATTGTTTTGTAGTTTGTTTATGTTACTTTTATAATAAAAGTAATTATATAAGAAAACAATGTAAACATCTCATAATAGGTCTAAATATTTTTACTTGCTACTCTGCTTTGGTGATATGTATCTCTTCCTTCCCTGCTTTGTGAAATATCTATTTAAGCGTTAAAGGATGTAATCTGTGATCACATTTAGTTCAGAGACAGAATTTGACCCAGGAATGCATATTCATTTCAATTGGGTTTTCATACTTATTATTAAATATAATTTAAGACTTGGATCTCCTCTGAGTTGGGTGGAATTAAAATGACAACCATAATTTCCTTACAGGTAAACTATTTATTTCTTTAAGTCCAGCACCATAAAAAGAAGCCCCAAATTGTTTCCTCAGGAATACAGTTTATTTCACAAAGGTACCATTTAGCCGAAACTTTATATAAATAAGTAGATAGACTTTTTCCTGTTGGGCTGAAGTATATGCTTATATGTGGGTTTAGTTTTTAAGCTAAACAGACATTCAGATAACGTTTTGTGCATTGATTGAAGCAGAGGGCAGGTAATGAGGGACTGGATTTTTATTAAATAATAACTTTATGAAAAGAAAAGGAGTCCCTCTTAAATGAATATTAAGATTAAAGTGTTTTAAAGTAGGTAAATATGAGTAAATAATGGTATTTGTCTAAGTAAAAAATAAATTAGACTGGGCTAAAAAGAAAAACAAGATTAATATAAAGTGAGTTTTATGTGTTAAACATTCTTTTTAAAATTTTAACCCTAGAATATAATACCTAGTTTCTTCCTGTTACTGATCCTCTTAGTATACTTTATAGCACCTGAAAGGAAATAATATGTCACACTGAATAAAGTGAGTACATTACAGAAATTCTTAGAATAGGAAAAGCTTACAATGCATAATACTCCACCTGATCCTTAATATTTTTTCTGTTGGAGACCTTGTGACCTGATTTATTCTACGTATTATTCTCTGTTGATGATAAATGGGAAAAAGGAAAGAAAACACTTTGTCTTTCCAGAAAAGTCTAAAGAAGAATAAACATAAGCAGCCAATTCTTCCTTAATTTCTCTACCGGTTTCATATTGATTTCCCCAATGTGAGCAAAGTAATGAATGGATTGTGCACTAGATTTAAAATTTTAAAGGTTGTGACTATATTTGTACTTATCTACTACACCATGTATTATGACACTTACACATGTGGGCAGGAATAGTGACATTTTGTGGATTTGTTTTTTAAAAAATATAGCAGACCATAAAATCATAGAGCATATGGTCCAGCCCTCTGTCTTCAGACGAAATGTTTGGAAATTTTACTGTTAAGTCTGTTGTTTTAAAGCAGTATGCCATTGTGGCTGAGAAAAGTATAGTCACAACAAAAGTTGCTTGCTTTTAATGTCACTTCTTTCTAGTTTCACTTCCCTCATTTTAGATGAGAATTTAAATTTTAAAAAACCCATAGGAGATAGGGCATTATATTAATGAAAAATTCAAAACAGATATCTTTGTTCTGGAATCTGTTTCCATATAAAACTATTATGCTTAATCTGGGAGTTGGATGCTGGCAAGAATGGTTTATAGATGCTTCAGGGACACAGGTCTCCTCAGAAACACATGTGAAAACCACTTTACAAAAGTGACAGTATAATGGTTTATTTCCTCTGCAGAAGAGATCCTAATGTTTTGATATTCAGAAAAATAGTTTTGTTGTTTGTTCTTCTCATTAAAGAAAAATGTAGAGAAGGCATATCACTTTAGAATCTAAATAGATTCTTTAAAAAAATGAAAATCCCTGTTTGGACCCACTCAGAATAAGTGCTGCTTCTCTGTTAGGCTCTAGGAGGGACATCAAAGAAACAAGACATGGCACCTGTCCTCAAAGTTCCAAATGTGCTTGGAGGAACAATTCAGACCCACAAATTAGGCAATTAGAGAATGACAAATATATGAAAATTTGATATTATTTGGTACTAAACATTAATATTAGCTAATATTTATTTCATTTTCATTTACAAAGCACTTATTTATGTTAGACATTAGTCTAAGCACTTTACCTATATTAACTCATTTAATCCTTACAACAGAGGACTAAAGTAGATACTTTTATTATCCCCATTGTATTGGGGAGGCAGCTGAAGCCCAGAGAGGTTAATTTGCCCAAGTCAGTGGCAGAACTAGGATTTAAACCAAATGGTCTGAATATAATGAACTGCTTCTGTTATTGCTCTCTATATCATATTTGTTTTAATATTTAAAATATTAAGAACTGTAAGATATGCACAAACCACTGGTATAACATTTGTTTTATACCTCAGTGCAGGAAGGTTGACTCTAGACAAAGCCCTTGACCTGACTCGCTATCTCCAACATGAAACAAGCATCCCTGCACTTCTCAAAGGCCTGGAATACCTAGAATTGTTTTACCACATCACGGAAAGAAGGAATGTTTCAGATGTCACTGAAAATCTCAAGGTTTGTGTTTCTTTCAGAAAATTCATTAAGTAAAATACACAGTGCCTGGAGGATCAGTGAGACTTGTTCTGTTTTGTGTGAACTCTTGGGGTTAAATCTTGAAGAATCTGAGGAAACTGGCTGATAGCACAGTCAACACTTAAGCACCTAATAGTTAGATGTCCCTCGTTCCTTGTCATCACCATCCTAAGAGCTAGGTGCCAGGATCATAAGCAAAACATCCCTCCTAAGGTGATTTTATCTTATATCACTTGGTATTCCCCCCTCAGATAGGAAATTAAATTGTACTTCTTTTTTTTTTAAACATCTTTATTGGAGTATAATTGCTTTACAATGGTGCGTTAGTTTCCGCTTTATAACGAAGTGAATCAGCTATACATATACATATATCCCCATATCTCTTCCCTCTTGCGTCTCCCTCTCTCCCACCCTCCCTATCCCACCCCTCTAGGTGGTCACAAAGCACCAAGCTTAAATTGTACTTCTAATGGAGAAACTAACTCCGGTAGGTGGAGGCCAGAAAAAGAGAAGCAAAATATAGAGATAAGTAGTCCTATGCTTTGGGAAAGGTTCATGCAGACAGTTTAGAGTTGAACCCTTTGGATGGGTGAGTGAGAGCTGTGTTAAGAACTAAACTTAGCCTTTCTGTAAACAATCCTGTGCTTTCTGCAGCATTACCTTCTCCAGTATTTTAAGCCAGTGATGGACATGCAAAGCTGGTGTGACGAGGGCTCGGTCTGGGACAGAAGGCTTCGTTCGGCTCTCTTGAAGCTGGCCTGTTACCTGAATCATGCTCCTTGCGTCCAGAAGGCAACTGAACTCTTCTCTCAGTGGATGGAATCCAGTGGAAAATTAAAGTAGATCTGGACTTCTGTCCTATTCTTTGTTCCTTTCACTTCGATGTAAAAGTCTTTGATCATGCAAGACATCAGATCTAAAACCTTTTAGTGAGGATAGAAAAAAAAAAAAACATGCTGGGAACTACAGACCCTTGTTTCATGCTCCCGCATAGCAAGTGCTGGATAGATTTTGTGGGAAGTGAGGTTTAAGTCCCTGTAGGGGAGAGCTAATAAACATTAGCATGGTACCAGAAAGATGGCCAGAGGGTGGAGGCCGGCAGAGCGGCTGCCCAATCTCCAAGAGTAATGCCTTTTAAAGGTAAAAAGCAATGTGAAATTTTCATGCAATCCAAACACCAGTGATCAGTTGATGAAACTAAAAAAAAAAAAAGGGGGGGGGGTGGTGTGCCTTTTTTAAACGTTGTTTACTTCTTCATTAACCAATACCACACCCCAGCCTTAGCCCCAAGTTTCAACTTTGATAGGAAACTGATGATTTGGGCCATCTAAAGGATGTGTATGGTGGCGAAATTGATTCCAGTGATGGTTGTAATCAAGTAGATGCCCTGTGATCAAAAGGATTATGTTGCAGTTTAGTTTAGCAGCTGCAACCCATAGGTACTGAAAGACATCACGATCTTTTCAATGAAAGCCTTGATTTCTGTACAACACATGATTTTATATTGTTGCTATTAAAACTCTGACTCTCCAGTTGGATGTTTTGAGAAATCAAATCTGTATATGAATTAAGGAAAATTCCTTTTTAAAATAGGAAAAATAATTCACAACTTTAGTACCATGTAAAGCAATGGTGTCAATTTTCCCTCTGCCAAATTGTTATGAAATGCTATTATAATTTATCTCCACATAACTAAATCTCAGTGAGCTTTTTGAAATCTTTTCTTGAATTCTTCTTTAAAAAAAAATAATTCGTTTTCTTCTTTTTGGACTTTTTCACTCTTTGGGATTTAGGCTTAAAATCAGTTTCAGAACAAAAATTTCTTTTAGCTATATTTTTCTCTTCTTTTTGTTCATGTTTAAATGAACTGTATGAGTGAGGCTAAAATATAGACATCTGTTGCCCTATAACACAACAGAATATTATTCTGTCTTTATGCTAGTTATAAGAGGGATGTTCTTACCTGCAGTAACTCAAGTCCATTAGATACAATGGTTCAACTTGTTGAACAGGATGCTATGCCTATGAAAAAATTCTGGGTAAATCTCATTTAAGCTTGTAATCAAGAACACATAATCATATATTGTAGGTTTCTTTTTTCTAAACTTCAAAAGCACTAGTATTAATCCTAAAGGGGAATTTCCTTTTATTGATTAATTGATTACTTCATTCATGAATTCAAAATATAATGCTTTGCCTGTTGCCTATGTGTCAGGCACTGCATTTGGTGCTAAGAATAAACTAGTGAACAAAACAACTATGTGTTCTACCTCCAAGGAACTTATAATTTATTTCTTACCAATTTTTATAAATTTGTACAGTAAAACACACTAAAACAAAATAACGTGGAATGTAATTTAATTACTTTTTGTTTTATGATTCAAAGTCTCTTGGGATATTTAAATACATATAGTACAGTGGAAATAGCACAGGATTAGAACCATAGGTCTAAACCCCATCTCCAAAAAGGCTAGTATGTCACCTTGGTGCAAGTTACTTAACCTTTCCAAGCTTTATTTCCACTTTTTTAAAAATTAGCATAATTTTTCTATCTCACTGGGTAGCTTTGACAGTTAAATAAGTTGTATAGAGACTAGTACAATCTTATGGTCCCTGCATGATAAATACAAATTTCCTGTCCCATCCCTACTTCTCTGTGTTTTGGTTATTCCAAGCCATTAATATGAATATCATTTATTATTGATCTAATGATATTTGGGATTAAAAATCATAACCAAATTAAAATCAAAACTAGTTAGTATCCTATAGGACAATAAAACACCAAAACCATGGTGTCTTCTTTAGGTGGACAGAAACTAATAATATTGCATCTTATCAGTTTTACAGAATTTTAAAATGACTGAACTCTAAACAGCTGTGCTGAAATATAATTCTCTACACCTAGAGAGTCAGATAACCCTCAGACAGGCTAGAAAGTACTCCTAATGTGACATTAAAGCAGCAAGTAATAATCTTTTTTAAAAAATCATATAGCACCAATATATGCTATTTAATGATAGAATTCTATATAAACGAGTTCATTTATATTTTAGAAATCACCTTTTTTATTTATTCATTCCATCAACTTTCTGTTTTCATCTCCAAGTAGTTTACATTTTTTATGATTATTATCCTTGTTAACATTTTATCATCAGGAGGAAAAAAAACACAAATAATATGCAAAGTAGAATTACATAAAATATTTTTATAAAAATTTGCCAGAAAAAAAGGTTTAATATGCTAGGTACTGGAAATAACTAGGGGTGATTCTGTTATAGCAATTTAAAATCATAATAAGAAAAAAAGAATTTTTTCTTTCATAGAAGTTTTTTTTCACGTTTGTGCTTAATATTACAGTATCCCAACAGATGTTTTAAAGATTGTGTACTCCATGGGTGCTCAAACAACAGCAGGATGGAATTACCTTTTAGAGCAATACGAACTGTCATTGTCTGGTGCTGAAAAAAACAAAATTCTGTATGCATTGTCAACCAGCAAACATCAGGAAAAGTTAACGAAGTAAGTGAATTTAACTAAATTGCTAAAAGTAAACTTACACATATGCAGGGAAGATACTAAAATTTCAGCCACCAATTTCAAAGGCTTGTAATAATAACTGAATCAGAATTTGAACCGCTTTGACTTTACTTCCAAAAATATATATCGACAAAATGCAAAACAGATATTCCTTAGTTACTAACGTGATTGTTACTAAACAAATAGCTATGTTTTACTTTCAGAACCTTGGCGGAAAATTATTGTACAAAATACAAGATGCTAGTCATCTTGTATTTTAAGATGCTGATAAAAGATGTATATAAGATGCTAATCAAAGTTCTTTGAAATAACAAGTGAATAAAATTACTTCTAGAAAAAAGTAAAAGTTTAATTGGAATAGTAAAAATGTTAGCCAGTAGAGACTTTATTACTGTTTTTGGTACATCACACTTTTGTCATGCCTCTTTCTCTCTGATTCTTCTAATATACTGATAGCCTGAGTTAATTTCCATTATAAAACACAAACCGTGAAAAATTAAGTGATTTTTATCTCTTCAGGTTAATTGAACTAGGAATGGAAGGAAAGGTTATCAAGACACAGGACTTGGCAGCTCTTCTTCATGCAATTGCCAGAAATCCAAAGGGGCAGCAATTAGCCTGGAATTTTGTAAAAGAAAATTGGATCCATCTCCTTAAAAAGTTGGTATTTGTTTACATCCAGTGTGTGTTCTTCCACCCAGATATCTCAGTTGCCTAAAACCATGTATAACCAAGTGATCCCAATGACACCATTTTTACTCAAATAGTTTGATGAAGTCTGTCAATTTTAAAAATCACTAGCCCAAATTGCCCTGTCCAGGTATAAGTGAGAGGAATGAGATAAAGGGAATGGGAAACAGATTTCTCTTACTCAGCCCAGGCAATGAAGAATTGCTGGGAACAAGTAAGAGCTGAGTTAAATCCAGTCATCAGCCCCATCCCCCCCATTCCCTTCTGGCTCTCTCCCCAAGCCTGAAGAATACATTGAAGCCATATATAGTACATCAAACACTGGGGGAAAAAAACTTCAGGAATTCTGCAGAGAACTAATCCCTACTTCCAGTTCCCCTGGGGAGGTGGCACAGTGGAGAGCTTGGAGTAGCTAAAAGAAATTCAATCAGAAATGTTTTGGGAGCTCCCCTCCAAAACTGGATAGGTTATGAGTCTTTTCTGGGGTTTCAACTTTGGGGAAAACTAGAGCTCACTCAGTATGCTCCTGAACCTAAAATAGTCCCAGAAAAACCAACAATGATTAGATTCCATTGGAATGTACAGGATGGCATTGCTTTCTCTCACAACAAACCTCCTGCTAAGTGCTCAGCCATTCCTCATCCAAACCCAAAATGTCACTTATTAACTATATGGAAAATACCCTGAATGAAAGAGCTGTGCAATTTGCTCTGTTTATCTTTGTATCAGTTAGCATCGCTGATGTCAGTCATCCTCAGTTCCTCTTCCCTCTCATTTCTTAGCCATAAAGGACTCAGAGTCCTCACAGATAGCTTTTTGTCAGTAAAAAGCACATTTCTACCGCACTCTCGGACCTTCAAGGGGTTGACGTCCGCATGAGACTGAATAGTTAAAAAACTGCATTTTTAAAAATGTCTTTCCTTAAAGACCTTACTGGAATCATTGGTTTGGTTGTTTGCATGACTGTCTGTCCCCTCCTGAAATGGTCAGACTTTTCTGCAATGCTGTAGATTTATTTCGTAACTGGAAATTATCCTCCTGCCCAACCATGGTGCACAGTCCAGACTTGGGACCAGTTCTGAGACGTATCTATGCTCTGCTTTACAGCATGAATCCCTTTGACCTGTGGTACAAATTCTCTAGATAAAACACTGGGGTGAAGGATGCCATCTGTGGCTTCGAATGAGAGTTCAACGAACAATGCCCCAATAAACATAATGTATAAACACAGTGGTGTCCAAAATGAGATGGGGAAGTATGTAAGACAATGCCTTACAGTGCAAGAAGAAAATAATACTACATGTATTATTTGTTATCTTATGCTCTTAAATTTTCTTTTTTACCTTTAACATAGTACATGCATATAATTCATAAATAAAAATATGTATATTGGGAAATTCTTGGTCAAAAAATATTTATTGATGGGTGTATAATCAAAAATGTAGAGAATGCTGCTTTAAATATAAACTTAAATTTAAACATAAACATTGGTCATATTTCCTAAAAAAAGCTTTATTTACATTTTAATCTTATGGTCAAATTTGATAAATTTCATAGCTTTCAGATTTTACTGGATGAGTATGAGTTATTCTTGTGGTAATTAATAGTATCCATTGCAAGGCACAAATTTATCATATAGTTATTAATGTTATATATTTTAAATATACAGCATGTTATAAACATAAGGTCATTATTTCTATTACTTAAATCTATGAGGTTCCTTTTATTTTCAGATTTGAGTTGGGCTCATTTCCCATAAGAATGATCATCTCTGGCACAACATCTCACTTTTCTTCCAAGGATGAGCTGCAAGAGGTTTGTGACTCTCTTTTGCTAACAATTTAAAAATAAATGTTCAACCTGTAGAATTGAAAGTAAACTTAGATGCAATCTGGTTTGAAGTTGTTATTTTATTAAAAGAAAATAAGATGTTTTTCCAATGTCACATAACAAGTAAATGGAAGGGATAGGACTAATGTTCATGGCATTCAAAATGGAAATTATACTTGAGGGATGAGTCCTTTTGTATTATTTCATTCATATTGTATCATCACTCGAGTGATTATATTGAAGTTTGGAAGAGTGCATTAAGGTCTTTTTAACAAAGTTACTCTTTTTGGTAATTCTACTTTTTTTAAAAAAAGCATTCTAGTGTTTTACATCTTCTTTCCACAATAAATCTTAAATTTATTTACTTTACAAGCAAATTCAGAATTCTACAAGCAAATTCTAGTACTTAAATCTCAGATCACCGCTTACTCTATGACTTGGCTCAATCTCTTTTTTCGGAGCACAGGCTCCAGACGCGCAGGCTCAGCGACCATGGCTCACGGGCCCAGCCGCTCCACGGCATGTGGGATCTTCCCAGACCGGGGCACGAACCCGTTTCCCCTGCATAGGCAGGCGGACTCTCAACCACTGCACCACCAGGGAAGCCCTTGACTCAATCTCTTAAATTCTTTACCCACAGTGTGCTCACTTGTAAGATTTGTCATTCCTGTCTTATTTTATCTATTGTTTGAAGGTAAAGTGAAATAATAATTATGCCCAAAAAAGAAGAAAATAACCTTTCAGAGATTGGCAAAGAAATGCTTGCACCTGTGTTTGTGCAATTTATAAGCTGGTTTGAAACCCTTTGGAAGAGAAACTGTTTTATGAACCACGTCAGTTATCCTTTTCTTGCTTATTTTTCAGGTGAAACTGTTCTTTGAATCTCTTAAGGCCCAAGGATCACATGTGGAAATTTTTCAAATTGTTCTGGAAACCATATCCAAAAATATTAAGTGGCTGGAGAAGAATCTTCCCACCCTGAGGAACTGGCTACTGATTAGTATTTAAATGGTCAATAGAAACAGCACATCAGATGCAGGCTGTGTCTACATGAAGTGGGCAAAGCTCAAGTCAAAGTCCCAGATAGTTTAACCAGTAAGAAGCCTCAAGAAATCAGCCAGCACAGCTACCTGTGCTCAGCTATCATCTCGAGCTGACAGACTTATGATGCTGGGGTGAGGGAAGGCCAGTCAGTAGCCTATTTTAAAGTAAACTTCGTGAGTAATGGAGATATGTAGAGATGTACTGATAAATATAGCTGTAATAGTTTAGCTTCAACACAGACTGTCTACAGTGCCCGACATTATGCAACTACGGCTTTGCTTCTTTGTTGTTTTTTTTAAACCTTGCATAGAATCCTGGCATTAGCCCAACCAGGTTACCTCCAAGGAAACACAGCCAATCTGCAAAAACCTCTTTCTTTTGCATCCTTCCATCTTCTTATTCTCCAGCTCCCTCAACTCAGCATGAATAGTTTAATTTTTACCATTCATGTAAAATCTGAATTAAATTATGAAGCATACAGATGAAGAAAACAGAGACTTTATCACCAAATCTCAAATTATTAGAAATTAGATGTCAGGGTTTATCAAGGAAGCCAGGAAGGCCGCTTGGCTGGAGCCTCACATTCATGAAGAGCCTCAAAAGTAGACTTTTGAGATCATCTCTAAATGAAGTTAAATCTGTAGTCACAGAGGTACAGGAGAGAAAGATGACACCACTTTAATCCATGTACTATTGCATTTTTAATAAATCTTCTGAAAGTTGCAGAGTTAGATCATACTATGGTGTATATTTTGGATTAAATTATGGTTTAATGTAACTATTTAAATGTATAATTATATTTTCTAACGCAGTTTTGGCATTTCTTCATATTTTAAGGGAAACTCTTGATCTCTAAAATGCTTTTCTAGATGCTTCCCTTAATTGTTTGACTAACGTATTAGGAATAAATAAAGAAAACACCACTCTAAATACAGGCAGTAAATTTAATAAAGTAATGATCCACATATAAACTATAAATAAGTTCTAGAAAGATTTGAATCAATACACAGATGATTGGCTTATCTGGGTTATGGAAGGAGGCTGGGATTATCTGGGTGGGAGTGGGGTGGCAGGGTGTTTTCCAATCCATTTTAAAGTGATAACATGAAGGTCTATAGCCCTTTCTCTGTTGCCATAGAAACAGGATACAGTTTGGATGGACCATGGGCATGACCCAATACATGTTTTGTTAAGTTTGTTTTAAAATCATTTCTTGGGGTCTTTGAAGCACCTTTGACTCTAGATTTGACCTGTTCATGGCCCTACCAAGGTTTGTATAACACCTAAGTGATATCACTCTAGAATTATATGTACTGTAGCACAAAGAAACTGAAAGAGTAAAGAATACTATTTTTCCACCAAGATGATATGTAAATTAAGCAGTAAATATGTATGAGTTTCAGTAGAATTGTGCCATCAAAATTTCCATGAATAAGAAAAGTACTTTCTCTTTTGTAGTAATTTATCTACCATAAATTTCCAAGTTTTTAATTCTCTTCCTTTTAGTTCTTTATTTAAATACATTTTTAATCTCTCAGATTCTTAAGAATTGAGTACAGAAAGTGGAAATTTTATTATTTGTTGAGAATGAACATGAGAAGTGATGTGCCAATAATGTTTTAACTAATAAAGAGTTTTTTAAAAAGAAATGTACTTATTAGTGTGGTATTTCAAAACCTTTATGGTGGATGCCAGACCCCCAAAACAAACTAGGGTTTGGCTAAAGTTGGTTTTACTTTCTTTTACCTTGAATGAATAAACAAGTTGTAAAAACGGTTGTATACAATATCATGAATAATGATGGAATGTGAGTTGATACAATTTCTCCATGCTTCCCTGATTCCCCACAGAGGCACAGGGAAAATTTTGTGGTTTCCAGAGCCCACTCAGAATGAGAAACCTTCCAGATCAGGGGAGCCCAGAGCAATGACTCGCTCCCTTTTTAGGGTTTGTGTCATGGAGACTAGGCCCTTCAGCCCTCAAGAGTCCAACCTACTACCGTGACAGGAATTTCTTGTGCTACCTCGTGTTCATACTTCTGCATTTCATTCTTTGCTATGTCATTGGGTCTATTTGAGGTTCCAGAGAAGCAAGCCTGGCCAGGACCTACTAGGAGAGATCCTAATTTTCTGAGGGAAGTTCCTAGGGTTTTTCCTGGTTTTGTTTTTTGGAATTGTTTGGGGGGGGGGGCCAGAGAAGCAAGCCTGGCCAGGACCTACTAGGAGAGATCCTAATTTTCTGAGGGAAGTTCCTAGGGTTTTTCCTGGTTTTGTTTTTTGGAATTGTTTGGGGGGGGGGGAGGGGTTTATTCCATTTCAAAATGCAAGGAAGGCCTCTAAATAGTCACGGGATCTAGTTTTCTTCTTAAACATTAATGTCTACCAAACATAAGTTTGTTTATAATGGCCACATTTTTACTCTGCAACAAATACCTCTTTACCTAAATTCATTATGACCTCATTTCCATTCAACTATGTCACTATTTTTCATTCAACACATAATTACATTTACAGACTTTAAATCAACAATTTATTATATTGTCTGCTTCCTAAAACCTTAATCTCATCAAAGTCATGTTTCCAAATCATAAGGAAGAAAGGGTGAAAAGGATTATGAAAGAAGTGGATTTGCTGGGTTGAAGTGTATGTGTATTTTACATAATCTAATATTTTAATAGTGTCAGATTATTTTTCTAAAAAGCGGTGTTAATTCACTTTCTTCTTACCCCTATATTCTTACTTGTCAGTATCAAATATTAATCTCTTGTATCTAGTAATCCTTTTTCATAGTAAGGTACAATTTCTCCAGATAATTACAAAGCTATGTCACTGCTTTCTTTGGATTCGGTATTTGCTTGATACATCTTTTTGTACCCTGTTACTTTGAATTTTTCTGTATCCTTTAGTTTCATATGAGTTATTTATAAACAGACTATACCTGAATTTTGTTTTCTATTATGTTCCCCACCTCAGGCAGGCCCAGGCTTTGTCCTCTGTCCCCTCTGCTCTCAAAGGCTTAAAAACTGAAACTTCAGATGCCGTCAAGGAGAACATTGACTTCAGTCTTCTGCTGACCCCTCAGGTTTCCTGCTTTCACTTAGTTTTTTATCCATGACTATTCCTTACTAACTTTTCAGGTCACGAATGCATTAAAATAATTTAAAAATATATTTCATTCTACATTTTTAGTTATTTTTAGCAAGAAGTTTAGGGTACCTACTCTAGCATATTCCCAGAAACCATAATAATTTATTTTCCAATAAGCAAATGCAGAACACTTTTACATAGAGGCTCCTTAGGATGGAAACTGGTTGGTGGTGTTGACTGTGCAGTATTGATTTCTCAGAAATAAAGTTGTGGGTGCCTAATACTGTATCATACTTAAGAAGTTAGCAGTATAAACAGACCATTTGTTCAGAATTTAAATCAGGAAAATTTTTCCAATATTCATAAAGAGAAATGGTTAGAAAGTCTGAGAAATGCAGACTTAACAAGATAGAAAAACCTTTCTATACCTCAATCACTTCTTCAAACTTAACTTCAACCATAACTTCAAGATCTTTTGCTAATTTGTTCTCCTTTCCCCCAAAGTCCTCATCTTCTACCATACTCCCAGATAAGGTTGAGTAACCAGTTTTCTATTCTCAGTCTATGACTCATTAATTCTCATCTTTAGGTATTTACACACATGATTTTCCACACTTCAAAGTTCATGCCTTCCGCTGTTGAATTATACCATATTTCTTTCTTTCAATACAATGTTTCAGGTTCCTGCCTCTGTAAGGAGTTTCCATGTTAATACCACCCAGCATGTTCCTCTAGTCATCCAAACGATACCTCTGTTATAATTACAAACCTCATTTTAAAGTAGGCAGAGCAAATTGTCTGTGAAAAGACTTAAAAGATACAAAGGACATTATTTTTCAGTTTTAGAACTGTACTCTCCTTTAAAAACTGTTTTCTAATAAACTAGTAAGTTTGGAAATCCTAACTCACTTCTAATATTTTGAGTTGGAGTTGGAATAAGGATAAATAGAACATTCTAAAAACTTAAATATGGAAAGATGTGGGGAAGGGGATGGGGGAACTTTTTCTAAAAGAGAAACAGTTGTCTCCATGGTATAAGGCTGCTGATAGGTAATTTTATTTTCTTTCTTTTATTTTCTTTTAATTTTATTTTTTTTTGTTTATTTATTTATATTTTGGCCGCATTGGGTCTTCGTTACTGAGCGTGGGCTTTCTGTAGTGGCCCCAAGCAGGGGCTACTCTTCTTTGTGGTGCGTGGGCTTCTCATTGCAGTGGCTTCTCTTGCTGCGGAGCTCGGGCTCTAGGTGCGCAGGCTTCAGTAGTTGTGGCACGTGGGCTCAGTAGTTGTAGCTCGTGAGCTCTAGAGTGCAGGTTCAGTAGTTTGTGGGCATGGGCTTAGTTGCTCCGCAGCACATGGAATCTTCCTGGACCAGGGCTCAAACCCGTGTCCCCTGCATTGGTAGGTGGATTCTTAACCACTGCACCACCAGGGAAGCCCTTATTTTCTTTCTATTCATACCTCCAGATGTAGAGTCAAAGAGTAATAGCAGAAATCTTAGAAGGACGAACAGAGTATTATAGCTGGTGAGGGGGTAAACAGGCAGAGATATGTCAGCTGATAAGGATTAAAGAAAAGATCTGGTCTGAAATAAGTATGCACAACCTATGTGATCCAGACAGAATCCATAGGAGTCAGACCCTATGTCCTGAGTGAGTTAATATAACTCACACTCAGGGGGCTGAATTAGGTCACTTAAGAAACAATGAATAGGACTTCCTTGGTGGCACAGTGGTTAAGAATCCTCCTGCCACTGCAGGGGACATGGGTTCGAGCCCTGGTCCAGAAAGATCCCACATGCCGCAGAGCAACTAAGCCCATGCACCACAACTACTGAGCCGGTGCTCTAGACCCCGCGAGCCACAACTACTGAAGCCCACATGCCTAGAGCCCATGC